ATCTTCAGTACAGACAAGAAAGGCATGGGCTCAGAGAGGTCATGTGACTTGCTCAGCATCTCACAGCTAGTGAGAGCAGGTTCTGGATGTGAATCTGGGATTCCTGAATACAAACACATGACTCTGTCTGCATACACAGCTTCTAATTGCATCAATGCCTTGTACACTGCACAGCGCACCTGCTTAGTCTGATTGGTTTGTTTATGTGTGTTTGTTTTACAAGGTGAAAATTTTTGTAAGGTTTGAATTTGGGTGGGATTTTTTCTCTGTCTCTTTTTAATGAAACTGTACAGCTTCCTGTTGGAGTTGTATTTAGGAAATGCTGTGTTAGTCAGCAAGGCAGAATTAAAAAATAACCAGGCAGTGCTGGATAGAGTGCTTTCCCCCTCTTAGAAATTCCCATTTTATCACCCTCAGGGAGAGAGAGTTGAGAAGAGGGGAAAATATGTGGGACCAAGACTGACAGGGCCAGGAAGGGTATATTCTCTCCTTTATATAGAATTAGACAACAAGAAATAGTTGTCTGTGTAGGATGCTTTTCTATCTATGCAGACCAGGGATAAGGTGGGGAGGAAACAGGTGAAGGAAAGATCCAGGTTTGACTAGGCTTTTGGTAGGAAGGGGATTAAGAGATCCAGATGGGGGAAGTCCCTATAGAGACCACAGGATCACCTCCAGTCCAGCTTGCACTTATCAGTGGCAGTGATGACACAAAGGCAGTAACAGGTCCCACATACTGAGCACATATATGCCAAACTTTGTGCCAAACACCCTGTTTCTGATCTTACCCCAACTGGCAGGCTTTATTTTAATAGTGATATGTTTAATATGAATCCAAAAAATAAATATGTAGCTCATTTGCTAATGATTGTCCAGATATTAGACTAAGGCCAAAGTATAGGTTTAGGTCTTTAAAAAGGGAGTTAAATACATGAAATTTATTACAAGCATAAGGGCAGGGGTATTACTGGTATTGGACAGAACTTATGAAGATAGGATAGAAAAGACTGAAGGTTAGAAAACCCTACCTGCCTTAGCTAGAGAACATGATAAGGAAACTGGAGTTCAGAAAGGTTCCTTACAGTCACAGCTGGCAGAGCTAGCACCTGGCTCCAGAGGCAAGCCCCAGGGCCTGCAGCCCAGGTGAACACTCTCAGCTTCTTTCTCCAGGTAAAGCCCCCGGGGCCGGCCACTACAAAGCTTTTCTTACTCCTTACTGAAGTGCTCATTGAGGCAAACCTTCTGTGGGGAGATGAGGCTCAGGGTCTGCTTCCTTTAATCTGCTGTTTGGAATTATTTCAAATAAAAGCCTTTTCAGAAGGGCCTGGCGTGATGCTGTATGTGACTGGCAGGGCTGTGATTGCCAGGAGTTCACTGGACCACCTATCCCTGCCTTCCAGCTTCACCCAGCTCCAAAGGCCCTCCACTTACCCCTGTCCTTTCTCCTGGTCTCTCCAGCCCTTCCTTTTTTCTCGCTTTCTCTCTGAACCACTTTTTCCAATAAGTTGTTGATTTGATATATCAAATAACTTTGAATGATTTCTGAGAACTGAAGCCTCAGAGCTAGAAGCACACTTAACCTCTATGCATGCTGAGGTTTCAGAACATTATTAAATTTGCATGGGGAGCTCACATCCACACAGAGAGGAGGATGGGGAAACAGCATCTTTAGCAAGATAGAAGTCATTACATAGCAACTCAGTCAGGTTTATGAACCCACTAGGAAAGATCAGCACAGTTTACTGGGGGTGTGGAAGGCAGCATTGGTCCAAGCAATCAGAGTTGAGTTTATGGCTTACAATTCATTTAGATGCCCATGTTTTATAATTGTCCAGGGCAGGTTCTCCTAACCTGGAATTCTCAGGCTACAAGCCCAGAAGTGAAAGACAGATTGGTGCATGGGCATGTGTATGTGCTGCATGTGAGATTCCTGTGTGTGGCTTTGTGTGTGTGATTGTACTTTCCCTCCTTAGAGTCTGTTGCTTTCACCACATCCCAAAGGGGCTTACTGTAACCCTAAAAGAATTAAAGACATGCTGTGTCCAGGCATGCTCACTGTCAGTTGAGGCCTCTAAGAAGAGTAATTCTCATGGAGCAAACAAGAAAAGGACCTGGTCATGCCACATAGAGATTTAAATGAAGGGTGGCACTCCAAGACAAGATGGTGTCTACCTGGCTCCTGGCCATAACTCATCCTTGGCCAATGGCATGACATAGTGACAGCTGATACCCACTGAATACTCACCAGGCTCCAGGCCCTGTCCTAGATAGCTTATGTTCATTCCTTTAATCCTCATAACACTCTGAGAAGTTGGGTCACTCACTGCCACTGGCTCCCTGGCATGGTGGTTCTCACCTGCCTACAGTTAATGGCTGTAGGTTCATCTCTCTTGGTCCAGTACAAGGCTATAGTCCCACAGGCTCTCGTTACTCTGAGGTGGGCCTGGGTGGTATGAATGAAAGCTGACCAATGCTGGCAGTGAATACAGGTGGAATAATGAAAAGAGTAGACAGCACAGGGGTAAGAAAGCAGGGCATGGGTACATTTCAGTAGTACAGTTGGTGGATGGTTTTTACTTTGTTTCAAACTCCCCCACCCATGAGTATTAATGGACCTTGTGACACACTTCAGAAAATGTATTGCCTGGCAAGGATTTGCATTTGAGGATCTAACCTATTCCAGAAGGAATATGGGGAACCCAAAGCACACACTATGGGGATTAGAAAGGTCTAGACTCAAATTGTCTGTGTCCTTGGACCTTACTTACCTCTGTCTCACAGTTGGTGCCCTGGTGATAAAAAGGTAGTAGAAGATAGGTCTTTCTCTATTGATGCTTTAACACTTATCACAGAAGCTGAGGATTTTTTCACTATGTGTATATATGTGTGTGTCCGTGTGAAGGAGGACTGGCTTTTTAATTTTTTGTCTGTCCTTTCATTTTTTGATGAGTTACTTTTAACCAGAACCCTGACTTGTACTTGCTTTACTGGGCTTTCCTTCCAAGTGGAGCACAGCTAAGCCATGCTGCTTGGTTGAGAGGTTCAGCCATAGAGTTCTATATGTGTGTAAACAGTAAACTGTAGTGGCCATTGTGTGGGTTCTTACTAGGAATTACTCAGCATGCTGAGTGCTTGACTATACCAACTCACTTAAAACTCCCAGCCATGCCAAAAGGTACAAGTTGGGCCCAGCCCCACTTTACAGATGAAGAGACAGACACTCCAAGAGTCTGACAGGCTTGGTGTGGACAGGAGGTCCTAGGACCTTGAGTGTCCCCAACCTTGGGTCCTACCCTAGGTCCTCTCAGCGGGTCATTGTGCAGTGGCACCTGTGGTTGGTCTTGCGTGATGTGTCCTGCCTACTGGTCTGCAGCTCACATCCTCTCCTTTAGCCCCTCCTCACTGCAGTGTTCCAAGGACCCCAGAGCCAGCCCAGGTAGACTGAGGCTCCTGGACCCTGCACATCACAGTTCATACTGTGGCCTCTCACTTAGGTGTCTCTACCACCACCCATCCCCCTTCATTTCCCCCTCCCCCCGCCAATTCCCTGCATGCTGGCTGGCCTGAGTTTATTCTCACTCACCTCCTTGCTCCAGGTGCCCCTGGAACCTGAGTTAACCAACTCCTCTCTATGCCTGTTTCCCAACCTGTATGATGAGCACAGACCACATCATTTCTAGGAGCCCTTCAAGCTCTTAGAACCTCTAAACCTCCAACAGCTCTCTTGTAGCTGCCTCCCTGGTGCTTCTCTGGGCTACACTGCCAGCTCCTCCACTCCCAGTCTGGCTGCACACAGCAGTCAGTGTGAACTTTTAAAACAAATGTTTTTAAAAAAAAAAAAAATTCTTCTTCCCTCCTTAGGCTTCCATGACTTTCTCCCTTGGATAAGAGCCAAACTCCATTCCATGGCTTATCTTGCCCTATGTTTTTGGGATCATGCACCAGCTGCATGGATACAGCTCCCTGACCCACTGGCTGTTAGGACCCATTTCTGTGTTCCTGATGTCCTCACCATGTGTGCTGAGACCTCACTCCACCTGGTATCCTCAGCTTTATATTTATGGCTTACCCTGACATTTCCCTTTTCTTACATGTTCCAAATTATTAAAACAGCTGCTTTAAAATTAATTAAATGATTCATAGAAAAACACTTTTTTTCTGTCTATAAATAATTTCACCTAAATTTTTCTCAGAAGATAAAATGCTGTGGCAGCAACTAGCACACACTTAATGCATCCATCTTTCCTCTTATGTATGTCTGAGCCACCTCTAGGACTCTCCAGCCTGAACCAGGACCTCTGATGGCAGTCAGTAGAGAAAGGCTACTGACTAATTCTGATAATTCTGCCTGATTCTGGAGAGCGTGCCTTAATTTCGCCCCTGCTTTTGGTATGCCCAGCTCTGTGTCCATTCCAGGACTAGTATATAAGAGGACATAGCTCTTGCCTCTGGTCTTGTCTTCAAAAATGACACACAAAAACTCATTCAGCAACTAGTTGGTGCTATTCAGAGCCCACTGTGAATTTCAGAGGAAGCCAGGTGTCAAAGCAGAGAGAAGGAATTCCCAAAGAAGAGACTCCACCAGCACATCCTGGCACACAAACAGTCACAAGTGTACACGCCCAAGGAATCACATTACTTGGTTAACTACCAGTGCTCTACAGGTGTCATCGTTTTCTGTGGGAAGATTGAGAAGCCATCTAGAAGCCATCCTAGAAGGGGCTGAGCTTGAGCTAGCATCTTGGTGGCACATCCTTGGTGGAGGTTTCCTGCTGTGCAACAGAAGAGCCCTTTCTGACTTAAGACTTTTAAAGTGCTTGCACACTTGTCACAGCAGCACCAAGTGATAGTTGACAGCAACCTCAGCCATGATCCAAGATGTCCACATTCAAAGAATGGGATAGGTGTGGTTTGTATGCCTTCACTGATCACCAGTTCTTGTCCCTGGCAGACACTGTTTGCCAATCACAGCACTGAACCTGATCTCAGAGTCCTCTTAGCAGAGCCAGTGCCCTAGGCAGCCACTACCAAACCACTTGTTGATTGGAGTTGGCCCTCAAATGGAAGCCATTTCCCATCCCAGATCTGTCCAGTGCAGCTCCTCACTTCATAGAACCTAGCCAGGGGAAGGGGCACAAATGACCACCCAGTGTGGAACATCTATATGCAAGTCTTATATCCAGGGATGATCAAGACTTGGGGCCATCTCAGCGGGAAGATTGCTGGCCCCCTTTCAAGCTGGTACTCTTGAAATGCTGTTCATTTCTTCAATGGATCTAGAAAGACACTGTCTAGAAATGAAAGTTGTCCCCTTGTTCAAAATAAGGGCTATATTAGATGCACTGAACTTAACATCACATCCTAACTTTTGGGGGAGCTTCTATGGTCTCTGAAGAGAGCAGGGGTTCATGTGGACATAATTACACAATTGGGCCCAAAGGTGACTTTGTAAGTTCCTTTTTTTTTTTTTGGCTCTTTTTGAAACAGAATCTCACTAAGTAATACAGACTGGCCTTGACCTTTCAATCCTCCTGCCTCAGCCTCCCAAGGCTGGGGATTATAGGTGTGTGCCACCTTCTTTAGTTTTCATTTGCAATATTCCAAACTAGATAACTTGTTAGGGAGACTACTAAAGGGTTTGAAAGTGAGTCAAACAAATGCTTCCACCCCTGAACAGCCCTATAACCATCCATGATTCCATGACGTGGTTCATTGACCACTACCTGGTGCTGGCCGAGAGTTTGTGACCTAGCCCGGGCCTGTACATGCAAGTGATACCCATGTGGCTATGCCACTATGCAGCTACAGCCAGATGCCAACAGAGGACACGACTGCCTCTGCTGGAATACAGCCAGCACACTTTTCTCCAGGTACTGGCATCATATTTCCGCTCCCCTCATCGCTGATCTGCCCCATAACCCAGCTTTTCTGGGTTTCCTCTTGCAGTGAACAGAGACTTGAGAACAAGCTCTAGGTAGTCCCTCCTCTACTTCCCAACCTTACCTTCAGTTCACTCTGATGTTGCCAGGCCTTCTAAGGACAATGAGATGGCATCTGGCATTTATCTCAGCCTATAGCCTGGAACCCATTCATTCCATAAGCAGCACCTTGCAACTGAACAAAACAGTCAACACAGCAGATGTGGGTCACGCCCTTCTTCACAGAGTTGACTATCTCCTTGGGAAGATAAATAGTCAACAATAAAATAAGCCTGTCTTATTACTCATTGTGATAAGTGCCATTAAAGAAAAGAAAAACACTAGGATGAGAGTAACAGAAAAGGGCTGCTTTAGATTGTGGAGATTGGTGATCAGGAAAAAGCCTTCTCTTCAGGGTTATATTTAGACTGAGGCAGGAAAAATAAAAAAGAGCCAATCTTGCACCCTGGCAGTTCAGGAAGAGCCAGTGCAAAGGCCCTGAGCTGTGTCTGGGAATTGTGTAAAGAGCCAAGGTTGGCATGCATGTGCAAAGCCTAGAGAGGGGCAACATAGAGAAAGAATAATTCTGGGTAAAGCCCAGGAGAGGTAGGACCCAGACCCTGAAAGGCCTGTAGGTAGCGTTCAGAATGATGAAAAGAACCCCCATTCCATACCCCAAGGAGGGCTTTGTGGGGGGTTATAGTAGTCTCCTAGGATGCCTTAGCAAAGTACTGTGTGACTTAACCAACAGAAACTTATTTTCTTACAGTTCTGGTTGTGAGGATATCAAGATGGTGGCAGGGCTTGTTTCTTCTGAGACCTCTCTCTTTGAATTGTAGATGGTCTTCTCCCTGTGTCTTGACATAATCTTCCCTCTGTGTGAATCGGTGTCCTAATCCCTTCTTATAAGCACCCCAGTCATAATTGGATTAGGGCCTACACTAATGACCTTGTTTGAACTTAATCATCTCTTTAAAGTCCCTGTCTCCAAATGCAGGGTTCTGGGGGTTAGGACCACAACATATGAATTTAGGGGGAATAAGATTCAACCCATAACAGGGGCCTTCTCTGACATACTCTTTGAGGTCCAGGTGGGTTCATGGATAACATATCTAAAATGCATCAGGAGTCCAAAGCAGACCCATCCCAATACTATCTGCTCTCTCATTGTTGAAAGGGATTGATTAGCAAAGGAAGGGAATGGCTAGCCAAATGAGAAAGGTGAGTGGGGAGGGCACAGGATTGTTGGCCAGGCCACCCCAACTTCTTCAGGCTTTCCTCTCGACCCCTAGCATACTTTGTCACCTGGAAGATGGCCCAGAATGTTGTGCTAAATGAAATGGAGTAAACCTCACAACCAGCCTTCTTAGCCCCTCAGTTAAGTGTTTCCCCAGCCTTCAGAAGCAGGAAGGCAGCATGCCCTCCATCTTAACACCAAAGACAACAAGAAGGGAAAGGTCCTTGGGAAATTACCTTGAAATTCAGAAAACATGAAGCCAGGATCCATCTAATTAAGATGACATTTTAAGTGGGGGATTGAGACCTGGGTGGCATTTTAAATTGCAAGCTGATTGTGCAGCCTCCTCTAATTTTGGTTCTGAGCAAAGTTTCCAATTGAAACAGAAAACAGGACTTCAAAGGCACTGCCTACTGCTGGCCAGGCAAAGGGAGTAAAAAGAGCAGCATGGGGTCCCCAGGCACAATGTGGCCTGTAGGCTGGGCAAAGGCCCGGGACTGCAGGGGGCTGAAGCCCTTGGAGCCTGCTGGTCCTTTACTGGGATCAATGGAGGTGCTTTTGGAGGAGAGTTAGTTGAGGCATGGTCTTGTCCATGGAGGGGTAGGAGCCAGCATTCATCCAGCCTACCCCACTTTGGAGGCACTCACTGGGTGGAGCTCTGGCATGTCCCCATTCCAGCCTTCCCCAGGTTTTTGTACACAGTGCCCAGCACCCATTGGAGAGGGAGCCACTCCCTCCAAGGGACTTTTTCCTACCAGCCCGCAAGGCTCATCAGGTAGAGAAGACCTGCCTCCTCCTTCCAGAATTCTGTGAGAGGCAGCCTGGTTTGGAGGTAGGTACGGCCAGCTGGCCCCAAGAGATGCCTGAGGCTTAGGATACTGCTCTCACAGGGTCACGTGAGCGGCCATCTACCCTCAAAGGCTCCTGTAGGAGCCTCCTTTGTCCACCCCTAGTGGACACAGAGGTTTAGTGCAGCAGGTCTTGCCATTACTATTGTTATTCCTAATACTGGTAAGGCTGATTTGTACACACCCATGATATAAGTGTGTCAATCCGGAGAACATGCTCCCCAGTCCCTGGAATCTCACAGACATCTTGGTGGAAAGAGCACATGACATGGAGAACACTGCCTTTGCAGCTGAGGAACCAAGCCACACTCAGCTGCAGTAACTTGCCCAGATCTTGGAAGGCCAGATTATAGCATTTTCCACAAGTCTCATGACCTTACTTTCCCACCTGCTTCCACATGACTTCCCCTGCCCACTTGGCTCCTGACCAGCAACTGTGGTGTCCATCCCATGCTTCCCTCCAATCACCATACCATCATGCCTTTCTCACAGAGCTCTATCTCCAGTTTCTCTATAGGAGAGGAGGCAGGATGGTGACTGGTGAGTGAGCATGGGCAAACATGAGCAATGAGTTGTAGGAGGTGGCAGGCGAGGTAACCTTGGTCTGTGGCGGGAAATGGGAAGCCATGGCAGATTTGCTATGGTGTGATTGAAGCTCTTTCCACAATAGATTAAAGGAGAGAGAGCACCTGGAGGCCAGGACATAGGAGTCCGTGTGGTCATAGGGGGAGGTTTTGAAGGGAGGTGGGGTAGAAATGGCCTTAGTGGATAAGAAGAGGAGCCAGAGTTCAGACCTTGCCAAACACAAATGACAGTTGCTGGGAATCAGTTGGCTACAGGAATGGAGGAAAAGAAGAGAATGGTACAAGCATACCTGGGGCATATAACCTGGCAATTCCTACAGACCAAGTCCCTTTGTTTTAATGGTTTTATGAATTTTAGTGTATATTGGAGAAATTAACACACAAACCTCCTTTCATGGATATTGTTGCTTAGGATAAGTTTATTTTTTTAAAGAGTCAATTTAAATGTCGTTTTTAAAAAATATTAAGTCCACAGTAGCACTGGTGTGCTGATGGAGCAGAAGGCAGGAGAAAAAAGCAAGAGGGAGGGGAAGTCATGAGTGAGTGAGGTCTCACTTATGCACATTGAGTTTAATCTGAAGAACCAGTGACCCAGAAGTCAGGTGGGCGTCACTCAGACATTCATTCCCTCTGAAACCACTGTGAGCTCATTCCAACTTGAAACCAAGACCAGGAAGCCAAGGGAGAGACAAGAACAGAGGAAATGGTGCGATATGGCCTTGGGAGCCTGCAGTCAACAGCCTGCCCCAAACCTTGTGCAGCCCACCCTTGAGCACACTCCCTCCAGTCGGAGTTACTGCAAGTTTGTAGAGTGAACCTGAGGCCCCACTTCTAGGAGGAGAGCAGCTCAGGAAGAGAGTGGAGTGGAGTAAGTGATTTCTAGACCACTGCCCAGAGGCCACCCTTGCTACTTGAGCATTAGGGACATGTTCCGACACCTGTCTCCTGCTGGGTACTGAAGTAGTCTCTGTCCAACATGGGGAAGCAGCTGGGTGTAATATGATGGATGATCATATTGAGTTTTGTTTGTTTGTTTGTTTGTTTGGTGGGACTGAGGTTTGAACTCAGGGCTTTGTGCTTGCAAAGCAAGTGCTCTACCACTTGAGCCACAACTCCAGTCCATTTTACTGTGGTTATTTTGGAGTTGGGGTCTAGCGAACTATTTGTCTGGGCTCACCTCAAACTGCAATCCTCCTGATCTCAGCCTCCCAAGTAGCTAGAATTAAAGGCATGAGCCACTGGTGCCTGGTAACATACGGGTTTTTATTCGGTATTCATTTTAATGGATATTGGAAAAGGTAAAAGCACATGTCAAGCATCCATTTGAGCTGGGGATGCAACTCAGTAGTAGAGCACTTGCCTAGCATAAACAAAGCCCTGGGTTTGAGGCCCAGCACTGCAAAAAAAAAGATATTGTTGGT